TCACCGCTGGCCTACACCCCAGCTCTTGTATGCATAAATTAATAAATCTTTAAAAAATGAGCCATATGACCATTTACTATAGTGTTGACTAGAATTTCTGCTGAGTTTTAGTTTTCTGATTTACAGCTATACATGCCTGTCTATTCCCTCTGGCGTCTGAATATGAAAGTGCACAGGAATCAGAAGAAAAGCTCTGTGAACTGTCTACATCTCTTCTTTCCATTCTCCTCTCCCCTTCCCTTCTCGCCTTCTTCTTCTCTCTTTGCCCTCCTTCCCCTTCTCTTCAAGTCCTCCCCTCGCTCTCTGTCTTTCTGTACCAGGTATGCATCTAAGGTTTGAACATCTAAGGTCACACAATTAGACATGCATGAAATAGAACTTCATATTTCTATACCAGTTTGATTTCTATCATAAGCCCCCAATCTGCTTTTTGGTCCAAAATCTCAGTAAATATAGGGTCATGCTCTGATCCAAGAGCTATATATGTAATGTTTTGGGTAGTTCCCAATTCCAGTGGGTTGGGTGGTCCACCCACAGGTGTTTAGTTCATCTTTCCAGACAGATGCTGCGGTGCCCTCACTTTCCTAAGCAGAGGGGTCCTAGGCTGGGGTCCTCATCCTTCCACACTGCCCCAGAGAGTGTATCTGCGCCCTTAGATTTCTCATACCTGCTACCCTCTAGAATTTTCAGGGGAAGCAGAGTCTAGTTCTGCTCCTCTGGACCCACTCAAGCCCCTAGGCCCTGAACCTATGGTCCTCATTGATTTTATGCTCCTGGAATCTAAGGGCACAAAACCCCCATGGACAAGGAGAAACGGTACCTGCTACCTGCTTGGTGGAGAGAAAAAAAACTGGGAGTTGAGGGAGAAACTGTGACTTAATACTTCAAAAATCATTTCACCCCAGCTGTACCTTAGTAACAATAATTCCCTAACTTTTTGTATACAGAAATTGACCCTCCCCAAAACTTTCGTCCATTGGCTACAACACCATCTGGCGGGGTGTTGACCTGGACACCCCCTTCTGCCCAGATTGATGGCTATATTCTGACCTACCAGCTCCCGGATGGCACCACTAAGGTATTGCACGCTTATGGTTTTTTCTGTTGGTGCCTTTGCCCACCCTCATGTAAAGCCACTGGCTTGGGCCAACTAACCTGAGAGCTGGGCTCACGGCAGCCGCTTCAGCAAGCTGATCCTGATTGTTTACCAGTTGTGTGCAAGGTGCAGCGGAACAGTCATCAGTGACTGCTGGGCATGTGGTCTCACTCTCTAGACCTGTGCCCCCTGCCTGCTCTAGCTGACCACTGCATTTGCTGCCTAAATGTCCCGTGTTACCTTGCTTGTGACTTGTCTTCTCCAATACATGTTAGCTCCACAAGGACAGGGCTTTGAGTCTGGACTGTTTGTTGTTGTGTTCCTAACAGAACACAGTGCATGGTTGGTGCTCAGGAACTATTTGTTGGAAGAACTGATTAACTCTATTTCAAAGGCTCCCACCAGCAATCCGAAGGCCAGCAAATTTTCATAGCTTAGCCCAATGGACAAGAATGATTCTCTCCTCGTGGCAAGGAATAGAGAAGGGGGCGGGGGGGGGGGAAGGAGCAGCACGCTGATCTGTTCATGATTTCAGTTAATTCATTTGACAGATCTGCTGGGAAAGTTAACTTTATGTTTACAGAGGAAGTAAGGTTCAGATAGAAGTTTATTGAAAACCCATTTCGTAGAAATGATGGCTGGTTTCATCTCTCCCAGTAACTTCTCAGCCGGTTGCTGCAGGGGTGGTCATAGTGGTGCCCTGGTGTGTACCAGTCAGAGAGCTGGCTCCCTTTGAGTGCCAGCTTTGAGCTCATGCTCCAGCAGGACAGAACCTGCAGAGAAGCGGCTGAGACCCTCCGAGATTCTGGACTGCCACTGGGCCCTAAGAGAGACCAGCACCGCATTTTCAGAGATCATCTATCAGCAGTACCAGAGAGTGCTGTGCTCACCCAGGGGCTGGGGTGAGAAAAGGAAAAACTGACTGTCTGCTGACTCCTTTCTTGGCAGGAGGTGCGGCTTGGCCCGGGGGACCAGAGATTTGAGTTGCAAGGCCTTGAGCAGGACATCACCTACCCTGTCTCCCTGGTTGCCTTTAAGGGTGACCGCCAGAGTAGGAGTGTGTCTACGAAGCTTTCCACAGGTAACGTGATCTCCTGCACCCGGAATGAGACTGGAGTGGCGGATGAGTATCCGGGGGCCAGGAAAGGCAGCCCCAGAAGAACGAGGGGAAGTAGAAATCAGGTTAAGGGTTCAAAAGAAATCTATCCCAGGGAGAGAGATGAAAGCAGGGAGAGAAATGGAGCATTATTTGGGGGGAGTTGGGTTGGGGGAGTAAGTGATGTGAATTGGACTTAGCAAAGGAAGTAAAATGTAGTTGGAGGTAATCATTTCTCAACAAATCAATGATCTTAAAATCAGGGACAAGCCCCACTCCTTTCCCCGGCCCTTCTCCTCACGAATCCTCCCCTCTGCTTGATTCCCAGTTGGTGTCCGTTTTCCACACCCTTCGGACTGCAGCCAAGTCCAGCAGAACGGCAACGTGGCCAGTGGTCTGCACACCATCTACCTGCACGGCGACGCCAGCCGGCCCCTGCAGGTGTACTGTGACATGGACACGGACGGAGGTGGATGGATTGTGAGTCACCAGCGCCTTGGGGACCTTGATTCTCAGCCTGGGCAGCGTGATTGCTTCCTTACCTGTGGGAGAGAGGAATGTTGCTGCATTGCAACTGTTTTTCGAGCTCACATTCCTGCAGGGATGGAGCCTGAAGTGCTTTAACACCAGCAGATCTGGCTAAATCAAAGCTGGTGACTGAAGGCTTGTGGGCTTCTCATCCTCATTTTACTTTTTTAAAAACACCTTCATAAACATGGCCCTCACGAAACAGATTGAGAGTGAGAGAAGCTATGATTCCTATTTTATAGGTAGAGAAGGTGAGTGGAGAGAAGTTTGTGGAGAGAAGTGCCTCGGCTATGACAGACACTTTAAGGGTGAGCTCCTAGCTCTCAGGCCAGCTAAGATGGAAAAGACAGGCGTGGCCTCTCTAAGGGCTCAGGTCTCTGAAATAGAGCCCACTATGTAGTTCTTGCATCCTGGCTCCTCAGTACAGAGACAAGACCTGGAGGGACTTTGATTTGAAAGAGCTAAAGCCCAAGAGAGGGAAACTCAGTAATGTTCTGATGCTTCCTCTTCTGTGCGGAGGCTTGATTCTCTTGGGCTTTTGTCTGCTTTAACCACACGTTCCCTGCTTTGATTGCATTGGTGTGATCCAATTATATGGTGAGCTGCCTTTGAAGGTTGCCATCTGATCCTTTCAGCTCCCCCTGCCCCTCCTCTGGGCCGGGATGAATAGAGATGCTCACTTTCCCCGACCAGCATGCACAGCCTTACCTGCTGTGCACCAAGTCACGGTGTTCAAACTGTATCCACTTACACCCCTCTCAGGGGCTTAGGAACCAAAGACACTGGAGCAGTCATGGATAAAATTATGCCATCTGATAAGTAGCAATGGAGAAAATTTATTATCTGCACAGCTTCATCTGATGGCTGAAAAGCAATAATTAGGTTAGATGGGGGGGGAAATCCTGGTTGATTTATAAAAATAATGGAAAAGTCTGATTTATAAAAATAATGGAGCAGACTGTGACAAGGGAGCTCTTCCACCCAAGCAGACCCCTAGGACCAGACCTGCTGCTTTTATCAGCGCCATTGTCACTCTCACGTTCTGTCCCTCAGGCTTGCAACCAGCTAGTTGCCTGCCTTTGTGTCTGTAATTGACCATTGGCAGGATGTCTGTCCTTTTGGAAAAAGCTTCCTCTGGGAAAGGAGATATTTGCCTAGAGCAGCCTTCAGAAGGAGACTGCCAGTCTGCCTGCCTGGGAATATCCTTCATTCAGTTCACAAACATTTACCGCACGCCTACTGTGAGCCAAGCACTGTTGTGCAGACTCACAAACCAAACAGCATCCCTGCCCGCAAGGAGCTTGCCTTCTCTGCCCTGACCACAGCTCTGAGGTCAATTCCAGAAATAATAAAATCACTCCGTGTTCTAACTCACGCCAGTCTCTCATCCCTTCCCATCTTATTTTCTGAGAGGATGTCTTCAGAAGGTGACACATAAACAGAGATTCGAGAGGGGTCTCCTTAAGCCACCATACTCCTAAACATGTGGAAGTCCTGGAAACTTCTCAACGGAATCTTTTACTATTTCCATGCTTGTGGGATTCAAGTCTTTTGTCACGAAAGATGACTTTAGTACATTGGTTTTAAAACTGAACTCCTAAGCAGCCTTTTAAGGAAATTCTCCTGCATCCAAGGCAGCAAGAGCACAAGTTGACTAACAAGCCTAGCACTGTGCCCTGAGGTGGCTGAGGCCGCTGGCGGGAGGCTGGAATGAAGACCATCAGGGAACACTTAAGTGTCTCAAGTGTTTCCATCTTTATTTTCCATCTTGCAAGTCTTATGGATAACATTAGAGACTCTTTCCAGTGGCATTTAAATGAAATTTTCATTTTCTTCTCCAGACTTAGTCATTCAGGACATTAAGTTCTGAGGATAAGAACAATTCTGTGGTGTAGAAATAGACATAAACAGATTTTTCTCCCTTTCTCCTTATTTGATGAGGTGCTTTTGTTACCCCAAATAATTCATTATAAGGGGTTCCCTCTTACAAGAATGGAAACGACTAGATCCTGAGTGAGTTCAGGAAGTTTGCCTGATCATTTCATTTGGAACTGGGTATAATAAAATGTAAAGTAACATTTATTGATATATAATAAGGACTTCTTATATCTGCCTTGCCATATTCTGGCCTCAATACCTTGTGATTTATTGTAATTAATGACTTAGCTGAAGCTTCGATTTAACAGCATGACAAATGGGCTATTAACATCTCGATCTAACAATTCAGGGAAGTGAGGCTCACCAAGGGTAACTCATTTGTCCAAAGACACAGCTGGTAAGCACAGAATTAGGTGCAAATACTGATGCAAAGAACTTCAGACTCATTTGATAGTCTTTCCTGAGTCAAACTGAAGCTTTTTCTTTTGTTTTGAAAACCAGCAGGAAAGCTCCTATTATGTTTGGGGACTGTGTTTACTAATTGGAGGTTAAAAACTAATACCTTGATGTGCACTAGCAGGCCAGGAACAGATTTGAGCCCAACCTTGAAAGGTGATTAGTTATGTTAGTGGGGATGTAACTTACCTTGATGCCGGTGGAGCAGAACATTAGTCCCACGTCTATCGTCCCTAAAATGCCACTGTCCAGGACCCAGAAAGAGTCCGGGGAAGGGAATGGAGCCTAGGCTGTGCTGGAAAATTAACACTTAGATTCAGACTCTTCAGACACACTTTTGGAAAGTAGACTAAGCAGAGCCATAAAGCTATTTGTAGCTTTATGATGAAAAGATGAGATCAGTGTTGTATCCTTGCATCAGCTACTAATTAGTTGGAATACTGGCTCACCACTTTTCTGAATGTTCACAGTTGTTTAGTAGCATCATAGTGTTTACCCTGGAGCCAACACTTAGCAAATACACAGTAAATGACTGTTACGAAAGTGAATAAACGGATGGAGAAAAATGAAGGAAGCCAAGACAGGGATGGGCTAGCTTCAAAATGCGGATGCTGGAGAAAAGGGGAAGGAAAACAGTGATGCTGATGTCGCCCATAGTTGTTGCCGTGGCCTTTTCTGAGAGTTCATGAGTTCTTTACCATTAGAGGACATTTTTACATGAAACATTTCATTTAGTTCTCCCAGCACCTCAGAGGTCATCAACTTCTTTCAGCTTCTAAAGCTGTTTTAGGAATAGAAGTGACCCCTGCCCAGTGCCACACTCTCCCCAGGAAGTGTCTGAGGTCCACCTGGGAGCCCCAGGCCAGGGCTTCCTCCCACTGTTTGCTCACGGTTGCCTTTGGTCTGCTTTTGGGGGCAGCAAACACAGATGGGGGCCTCAGAAGGGAGCTCCATGTGAGCGGACAATGGAGCCCTGAGCAGGCCACCCCCGCCTGCTCTTGCCTCCCTCCTGTCTCTTGCCAGAGAAGAATGTAAACAGTGCATGAATCTTAGGCAGTTTCCCTTACCAGATTCAAGATAACAGTGAACAATAACGCAAGTGCCTTGCACTTCGAGACACTTGCTGCACATTGTGGTGGAAAGGAGGGGAGGCGGGATTTTGTGCTGGGGCTTCTGCATTTGAATGATCCAAAGGAAAGTGGGTAGAGAGATGCAATGTTGGTCTTTCAGAATTCCAGACTTCTGGGGTTCCAGTGGTCCCAGTCCCTTCCGTGAGACGTGGATCCTGGACAGTGGAATTCCAGGGTAGATGTGGCACCAACGTTCAGTTCCACCAGCATCAAGGCAAATTACGTCTCCACTAACACAACTAGTCACCTTACAAGACCACTGGAATTTCAGAATTCCAGCGGCCCACTTGCGAGGCTAGCTAGGATGGCATTTAGCTTGTTCCTCAAGGTCAGGAGCAATTCTGTTAATTCCTGCAGACATACAGGTATGTTTAACGTTTAGGTATTTTTCAGCTTCCTATAAAATAATCTAATTTTCTCTGTCTGGAACTGTTTTCCTTGTCAAATTGAGTTACGTTTGAAAAAAGTCCACATTCTCATGAAATGGCACTCAACTCTGGCTCCATTTCCTCACGTCTTACTCAGAAGGCAGTTTGGCGTCCACCCTCATTCTTCCTAACAGTGTCCTCGCTGCAGTCTCTAGTGGTCCTGTCATCTGAGAAATAATCAGGCTGTGAGCTAATAAGAAGGCGCTCACTCAAGAGCAAGGATCGTGATCTGGATGTGCAAACGAGGGGCTGTCGGGGGGTGCTGCCTCAGGAGCTCTGTAGGGGAGGGGTAAAGATTCATACAGGGGCACAGTCTAGCAAGACTGATGTCATTTGCTTGAATCCTTTGGATGGATTGATAGGTGTCTTCAGGCAGAAAGCTGCAGTGTGGGGTGTTTCTTAACAGCAGATGGTCTTTGTTTCTTTCCTGTTCATGGATAAGAACAGAACAGGGTACTGCTATCCATAGTCTTTGATAAGGAAAAAAATGAATGAGTTGGTGTCCTTTAGCAGTTGCCAGTAGGAAGATGGGGAGCTGAGTCAACGCCTGCTGCCTCTGGCTGTTTGTTTGTCACCAACAAGTGTCAACCAGGCAGTTAGAGACACACGTGAGACAGACATTCGTTCAAAGTAGGTTCTATAATTCCAAGTCACTAAATTCTGTGGACAGTTCAGGCTTCGTGTTCCTTCCTTGACTCACCAGCATTTGCCACGACCTTTCTTCTGTATCCTTTGTGGTTCTACCTTTCCCCAGTAGTCCTTCTGTGTTCCTAATTGTTCTCTCTCCTTAACAAAGGCATCATTTTCCACCAGACTCTACTCCACATGGCTGTGCGGGAGGTCTTCAAAGGCTTGGTTCCAGGTCCTTTTCTTTTTGCAGTTCCTATTTTCTTCCGAGGTGGTCCTGTCATGGCTTTGTTTATTCCTTGTGTCCCTCTATTAGTTAGGAAAAAATCCTAATATATGAAAGCTTTTTCTTACATGTGCAAAGTCTTCTGTGGGTTTGGCAGTCACTTCCAAATGGTGACTCAGAGTTTCATGCTGTTTCTGTCTTGTGGCTCTGGCTTTTCAACATGTGGCCTTCACTGTGGCTCCGTAGCCCCCTGTCACAGAAGAGAGAGTGTGGAGAATCCCCACCTGCCCTCCTGTGATCCCACTTACAGTCCTTTGTCCAAAAGGAGTCACATAACTCCAACTTAAGTGTAGTAATGTTGAAAAAGAAAGTCTTGTCTTCGTGGGGACAGAAAGTGACCTGGCAAGCAGCTGACTCTGCCTCAGCCACACTCTCGCCTTGGGGAGTCAGTCCAGGTCTCTCTTTGCAACTCTAGTCCATACCTCTAACTGCTCCTCCTGCATCGCCCCTCTGCAGTTACATATTTCGTATCTCGGATGAGTTCATGCAACACTCACAGAACCTGTCTTCTCCCAGTGAGTAACTGGCTGAATAGCCACTGGTTGCTGCAAGCCCGAACCACAGGAATCTTGACTTCTGCCCCGTTCACTTACACTTTTGACCATCTCTGGTTTTATTCTCTGTTACATCTGTCAAGTTTCTCTCTCCTCAGGGCAGCCCCTAATCTAAGCTACTATTATCTCTTACAGTGGCCCTCTAATTGGACTCTTGAGCCCACTCTTGCCCTTGCCAGCCCATTATCTATACTGAAGTTCCAGGGATCTTAGCAAGATGGAGATAAACATCTTATTTCTTTTTTAAAACCAGCAATAACTACCATTACTCACAGGACAGCTGGCACCTTCAACAATGCCTAAGAGCCCCGCCAAGGCTCACCTTGCTCACCTCTCCAGCCTCCCTTCCTATGCTTGCAGCTGCAGCACCCAACCTCTAGTCCTGCTCCTGATTGCTTCTGCCCTTCCTTTAGTTTTTAGCAGGGAGCTTTCCTGGCGCCCGCTCAGGTGCTCTTGTCTTGTGCTCACAGTCCCATTGCAGTTTTTCTTCATAGCCTTGATCACAGCAGTGGGGATTCATTCCTGGCTTGTTCATTTTCCTATCTTTGATGCATAAACTTTTTTGATGTGATTATCAAGTAATTGCTATGCTAGAAATCAAATTAATTAAAGATGGTTTCTACTTTCACACTATTTAGTGTGTGTGCGGGGACAACATATAAACATCAAGTGTCCCGATTGAATTTGAATAGATGCTGAGGGTTATAGGTTAGTACAGGAGGAGGTCTGGAATGTTCATCTTACCCAACCTAGTAGAGCAATTGTATCATCAGTTTCCCGCTTGCCACTGGCTCAAAAACTGAAATTTCTGGAAACAAGGACCTTTTCTGGTTTTATTCTTCACACTCCAGTGTCTAGCTTATGCTTATTGATAGAGTAGAACCAACATCGTGAGCTACTGAATCTACTAAAAGTGTTTCTTTCTTCTTCTTCTTCTTCTTCTTTTTTTTTTTTTAATGAAAGAGGTACTCTCCTGAGGAAGTCATTGTGATTGTAGGATCATAGCCCTGTTTTCCTTTCCGGTACCATATTGGGAAATACAAATATCATTCCCCTTCCACTCAGCTACATCTATTCAAGTATGTCAGAGTAGAAACCCCCCATCTCCCTTTCAGGTCTTCCAGAGGCGGAACACTGGGCAGTTGGATTTCTTCAAGCGTTGGCGGACCTATGTGGAAGGCTTTGGGGACCCCATGAAGGAGTTCTGGCTTGGTAAGATCTAGTGTCTAGAAGGATTCGATTATGGAGGGATATTTTCCCTTAAAAAGCTGGTCAAGCAGCCTGAGAAAACTCACTGCAATCAGGAAGGGGCCCAAGTGACAGGGACACACTGAGGGACACTGACCAGGTGTTGGGGGGCCATGGTGCCTGCAAGGTTCTTGTGAGTGCTCAGCTTGTGAGAGGCTGGGACTGCCGTAGGTGTCTTTATGCTGTATCTCAGTTCCACAGGATCTGCCTGGAGCCTGAACTTCCTAGAAACCAGAGGAGTAGAAAAAAAAAAATAAAGAATAGTTAGGGTTCCAGGGCATTATAAGGAACTTATTCTAGTGGTCCTGAAATTCTGCTAGTAATGCCAGTCATTATGGACATTGTTGTTTTCATCTGTTTCCTTCTGAGGCAGATGCTCATAGAGCATGAAATAGTCAAAAGCATCAGTTGGGAAATGAAGAAACAAAAAGTCATAATTTGGAATAATCAGTGTCTAATAGAGTAGATGATGTTTGTGGCTTATGTAGTACAAAAATCACTTAGCCCTTATACAATCTGGGGTGTTAGACTGAGTAGCTGACCTTTCCTCCCAGAGTGAGATGACTGGATGAAACAGAACCTTTTCAGCCTTCCTGGAGCCAATCTAGCATAGTGGTTAAGAACTACTTCTGCTTTAAGAGTTGGGGGGAATCATTGGGGGCAAGTTTGTCTCACAAGTACTGCCCCCCAGTACTCCCACCCGATGACATGGTTCCCACATTCATTAGCACGACAGTGTCAAAGAAGTCATTGGGTCAGAAAACAGGCTTCCCCCTGCCCCCATCCCAAAGAGACAGTGTCGCTCTCCTGTTAGTAGAGGAGGTAAAGGCTACGGTGAATTTTGGTGTAGAAGTTTCAGGTGCCAGGAGTGGGTGCTCACATGAGTTGGTTGCTGGGTTATTACAACTCTATTCCTTTTGTTTAGGACTTGACAAGCTACACAATCTCACCACTGGCACTCCTACCCGGTATGAGGTGAGAGTGGATTTACAGACTGCCAATGAATCCGCCTATGCCATCTATGATTTCTTCCAAGTGGCCTCCAGCAAGGAGCGCTACAAGCTCTCAGTTGGGAAGTACAGGGGCACAGCTGGTAAGAAAATAATGCTTCCTTCTTGTTCTCTGTGCATCTAAGGATTGATTTGTCACATGCCATGTTTCTGGGGGATGGAATAATGTTATGCGAAAGTGAATTGTCATTCTTTAGAATAGAGGTTAGCTTCTTCTAGAGGCTTGGGGATAAACTGAGTCATTAAAGCTATCCTTGGTCATCATATACTCAAAACTTATGTATATTGTACTTGGAATCTCACCCCTCCAATAAAGCGCCTCCTCTTAGACTCCCTGAATTCAGGCTGTTGTACACCAGACTGATGAACCACATTCTGAAACATCTTGAGGTGTCTGCCAACCTTCCATTTGGCCCTGGGGCACGGACTGCCATCTTTGCAAAGCAGTGAATGTGTGTATTATTTAAATCTTTCATGGCACTTTGCCATACAAAGAGAAATCATTAAAGTGCTGCTTCAAACAATAAATATGGGTCTCCTGAACTTCATACAACTGTGACAACACACAAAATAGCAGTTCAGCTGAAAGCCGGGACTCTTTAGTCTTGATTAGCTGTTTTTTTGATGGAAGCCAATTTTGGTGAGTCCAGTTATGAAGGAAAAGGGCAAAATCAAGTGACATGACTGAAACATTGGAAGTGTGCCACTGAATATTTTATTTCAGAAGGGAAGTGTGCTTATTGTTTTATATGTTTTAAACCTGCTCTAAAGTTTTTAAAGTTCTAAATCAGTCTGTTGCTTTTGATTTTGGGGTAAGTGGAAATGTGTTACTAACCAAACTGACTAACAGTTTGTCTCTCTCCTTAGACTCACATGTAAATAGGTCCATTATAATAGAAGGATTATAATAAATCAGTAAGTTATAACAGAACTTTTACAGAGTCAGAGGGAAGAGAAAGTGGGTACCTTGAAGATTGAGGGGTTGAAGGATGCTTTCTGCAGAATGGGAGCTGAAGTTGGGTTGAAATTATAGAACAAAGATGGGAGGAAAAGTGGAGACTTCCCAGTGGAGTAAGAACTGAGCAGAGGCAAGGAAATTGGGGTGTCTGTTGAATCCTAATGGCTGAGGTTGGTGAACATACAATGATGAGAGACAGGAGTCATTATATAAGGTGGCCCATTACCATTGCAGTTTTTTTTTTCAGATTTTATTTAATTTTTAAAAGATCACATGAATTTTGCATTTGCTCTTGATTCCTGGTGTTTCGCATGGAGTGAGGTATATAGATTAGAAAATGTTATTGTATACACTTGAAGTTAATGCTATATAGCAAGTCTACCTCAGTTAAAAACTGATACTGCTAGTGAGTCCTTCTATGTAATGTTTTGGATGTTTTATAGTAAAGAATAGTTCCTGAGATCTAAATAGGGATCAGTAAATTGATGAATTTGGTGACATAGTGACATGGGAGGAAATAGAGTGAGAAGAGTAGGCACTTTCCAGAGTGTGAGGAGTTTGGGTGACAGATACCAGAGAACCACTCAAGGGTTCTGAGTTGGGTTGGGTAGAGCAAGTGTGAAAGAAATATACGGCTGAAAAACAGCCCTTGAATAAGAGGCATGGCAGTTAGAGGATAATAAAAGGCATTGCACTGGCTTTGTCATTTCTTTCCCCAATCTTGTCTGCACACACTACACACTCCTTTAAGGATTGTATATGCCCACCCATATACAATATATAATATAAGGTATAATATAACCTCAGAAAGCCAGCTAGACATAAGGCAGTTAAAATAAATTTGGGAAACAGATAGGCATTCATAGGATTGAATAGGTGTTCATTGAATAAAGATTTCAACACACCCTTTGTAGGGCTAAGCACTCTGCCTCCCTCCATCCCTCCTCCCCCCCCCCCAAGCTGCAGACAAGCTGGCACACATTTTTCATTGCTGATTCTGAGCCAGCCCTTAGGTGTGGTGGGGTGTTTAGCCACCTCCAGCTGTGGTCTCAGTGCATGTGGGAGGTACTCCCTTCCTTTCCAATACCCCATTCATACTGAACACCGATCAGTTAACTTTTCCTTCTCAAGCTAGAACGACCATCTTCAGGGCTCTACAGAGAACTACAGAGGTGCAGCGCATGGGAGCACGCGGGTTAAGACACACACTCTGCTCAGAAGGTCCCGATTATGGGGTCTTCCTCAGACACAAGATACGGGTTGAGTTGTTTCCCTTGGGTCTCTACACTCCACATCCCAATCTGATGCCCGTGCCCACACCTCCTCCTGCTTGAGGACTTCACTTAGGCCTGTTCTCTCAGGATGTCATTCACCTTCCTTCTGCCATTCAAAATTAGTTTTTCTGTGGCCTGATTTAAAATAGTCCAGTAAGGGAACAGATGCGAATGGGGACGTGAGCAAAAGAGAGTCCACATATTCCTGAATTAATGCCTTCTCTCTCAGGTACTCTGACTTTTCACTGTGATTTGATGATCATTCCCATCCTACGGCTGTTTGAGCCAATGGTGCCCCTCAGTGGAGGATGTATTTTTAGTAGGAAGGCTTGGGAGATGTTCAAATCATGCAGCATTTAGGCAGCAGTCTAGTCTTCCAACACGTACTATCATTCTGACTTCTAAATTCTGAATTACAGTCATGAGGTTAGTAGAATTTTTGCTTTCCTTCTATGTGCTGATTGGTCCCTGAGGAAGGTTTTGAAATCATGTCCTAAAAGTTGAACTATTGTTTAGATAACATAGTGTTCAAATAGGAGGTGAACATTTTCAGGATTTTTTTTAAAGATTTATTTATTTATTCATACATAGCTGGGGTGCAGGCCAGAGATGCGGAGGGTGAGAGGATTTACCAGGGACAGAGTGGAGAGCAGAACAGACAGATCCATGAAGTACACTGCTGAGGGGAGCAGCAGGCGGGTCAGGAGAGGTCTGCCGCGCCATGTGGGTCACCTCTGGGGCAGGCAGGGATCAAACTCATGCGGAAGTGGCTTAAGCTTCTTAGTGCTGTGCTTTAACCCGCTGCACCACCAGGGAGGGCCTGGAGGTGAACATTTTGATGTCTTCATATCTGGGCCAGCTTTCCCCAGGCTGTAACTCCATTATAGCTCATGATTAGAACTACAGAAGTATATCCCCATGGAAGCGTGTGGGTTAAGACTCACACTTGGCTCACATTGTTCAGGGGGACCCTCTACTTTTTGCTTCCAGTGAAGTCATCTGAGAAAGTAAATTATGCTTCCCTGAAGCAAACACCTCCCAGCAAGGTAATGCTATGTCATTGTAGTTCCGATTCTACATCTTGGAGTAAGACAGGGAGAACATTTGTGAGCTCTCTTCCGAGGCAGTGCTCATCTGTTTAGAGATTTCAGCAGGTTCTCAAACAATGTTTTATCATTATAACATTGATGAGAAATTCCGCCAGAGTTGAGCAAACACTATTTAAAGACCTGCTTTTATTATATGTAACTTTGTCATTACATATGACTAAGTCGTAGTTTCCAAGAACCTACAGGTTTACAATCTAATGAAAACACACGTAGGTGGCTTTCAGAGAGGCATGCATCAACTCTAGGGGCTAATAGGTCAAATGATTTCAGGGTCCACCTGCAGGAGACCTTGAGGGCTCCACTAGGGAGGCGCAGGAAATACCATTGAGGAGCTCAGCGTCTGTAAGTTGGGAACAGGGAGGCAAATAACAGCAGCAAGGGATTTCTTTTTCCCAAATGCCAGTGCCTTCTTTGGAAGTAGATTTTTAAAACATTGGCACTTAAGACACAGAAATTATTGGGTACATGGACAAAAGGGAAACCAAGAGATAGCATCGAGAACTCTCTCATTGGCCCTGTTCTCAGGGAAGAATCTATTCTAGATCCAGAAACACACCCCTGTGCCTTTGCGTGACTTGTAAGGGACATGATGGTGGCCTCTTGGTCTGAGATGGCCCAGCTGCCCAAGTTTCCTTTCCTGGAGGAAGATAGTTGGTCTCCAAATGACATTTAGATGAGCTAGGTAATGACCAGCTCAGAGCCCTTCCTGGACTTGGGTTCAGACCTTTTATGGGCCTCCCACCACCCCTTCCACTCCCCCACCGAGAAGAACCAGCTTCCTACCCTAAGCCATTATACCAGAAGTGAGATGTTTATCTCTCACCAAGGCTTTCTGCTAGAAGCGAGCAGTCTAACCCTCATTGGCTTTTCTCCTTTACCTTACTTAGGGAGATAAGTTTAATAAATCAGAATACTGTCTTGGCTGGGGGCCTGATGACCAGAGAAAATTTACTTTTTGATTTATGAAAGCACTTACTATCTGTGCTTTGAACATCAGTATGGCTTCAGTTTCTATAAGGGAGAAAATCCATCTGCGGAAAAGCAACTCCCCCACACAGACCAAAATCTGCTTCACTTTTCCATATTCTTGTGTGTGCCCAAGGTGTTAGACAGGCACAAACAAGTCTTGTAGAAATAACCCCTGTTTGGATTTCGCCAAAAATAGCTCTGGGAACTTTGGATGCAACTAAGGTAACCTGTGCTCATTAAAAGTAAACCTTTAGTGTTATGTGAAGCTGTAGTTACTTATCTGCGAAAAATCTAAAGTGAGGAGGAACTGTGTATGAATGAAGTGCTCATTCATTTGCCTTGCCTCCAGAGAGACAGAATCAGGCAGAATCAGCTTGCTGTGTCTGGGTGGGAGTGGCCTTTCTTACCTGTCTTGTTCCTCTTGTTTTGCCAGGTGAGACATAAAGAAGCTGAGGTTTGAGCGCCCAAGTGAGAGGAACAAATTGGAGATTTCCCTGTGCAGACTTTGTTGTCAACTCTTTATGCATCTGTCCTCAGCTACCCCCAATGTAGTTCTCAGGAGCCAGCACCTCTTCTGTTTGTATTCTCAGAGCCCAGCATGGTGCTGCGCCATGGTGATGTCACCTGCATAAATGAGTGAAGTCACAGGACAAAAGTTCTCAAATTTTAGCTGGCACCAGGAAGGCTTTTTGTCGTCTGAGGGGCTTGTTAAAGCACCTCCCCCCACCCCCCAGAGTACCACCCTGGAGTCTGGTTCTGTAGTTCTGGGGTAGGCCTGAAAGTATACGTTTCCAGCAAGTTCCCAGAGGATGCTGCAGGAACCAGGCTTTGAGAATCGCTGGTGGGAGTGTCAGCACTGGCCCACTCTGCCCACTCTTGTTTGCATAGCTGGAGTCCTCTGTTGAATAAGGAAGCTGCAGGCAAATCAGTATATCAGAAAGACCCTGGACTTGGAGTCTGAGGGCCAAGCTTTGGGTCTTGACTCTGCCATTTATAGACTGTGGGACCTTGACAAGTCCCCAGGGACTAGCTGCTGTGAGCTTGTTTCCTCTTGAGACAAAAAAGTGCCCGTCCACCCCAAGACTTGTTGTCGGGATCCAGTGAGAATATATCTTGATGATCAGTAACTCGAAGATTAGATGTAAATGTAAGTGTTAATATTGAGGAGCAGAACTTGATTAGGCTTGTGATTGATGTGGGCCCTTGTTGCCTTTTATGAGCTGAATTAAAAAGAAAATTTATTAAAGGATGACAAATCTGATGGGAAAATAAGAGAAATACAAGTAAAATAATGATAAATTTCCAGACAGGATATAATTAAGTCTTATGCCCTAGCCTAGAGGACTCTCAGAGTTAAGGTGTGTGTGGTAAGAAGGTGTGTGGGAGGATTAATACGGAAAATCTTCAGCAGTGGGACTAAGCTAGACTTTGAGGAATGCTTAGGATTTAGGCCAATGAAAGTGCAGAGAGAATGGAGGCCTTCTCTGGTGAGCAGAAGCATGAAAGGTGGGCCTGTCCACTCCACAAGTTGGGGGGGGGGCGCGTGTGAGGATGACGGATTATGAGATCGTGCAGGGGCAACAGCCAAATTCTAACCTGCAAAGCCAGGTGTGACTCACTTCTACGTGGTAGGAAGCAGGATGTTAGAACTGAGGTGATGAAAATTGGCTGTCATGTTACTGCAGGCCCACAGAGTTGAGGGCAGGTGTAGGGAGGTGGCTGTGAGCAGAGATGTAGGGGTGATCTACAGAAGGAAGGCTTGATAGAGGTTACATAAACAGGGTTTTAAAACACAACTCAGGAGTGTCAAGTCTAGCTGGCCAGGAGGATGGCTGAGGGGAGACAGGGAGGACAGAAGAGCAGTGAGAAATTGTGAAAAGGTCGTCCGTCCGTCAAGTACCGTGGGGAGATTCTGGTTCTGGATATTTCAACATTTGACATGATGGTGAAGCTTCGAGGTGATGCCACTGTTAAGGACTTTGGAGAAACAGGCCTGAAGTTTGGATGGGAGATCAGGACATAGGATCTGTTTATCTCTATCATGTCCTCACATTTGGAGTGAGGGGTAACTTACCTGTGATTTAACTATCAGATCCTTGGCATTTTCATGCTAGAGGTTTTCCTGCCCAAACCCCTTTAAGGTCAAAGCATGATCACCTGCTCAGTGGCTCACCTCAGGCTCTCCTCTCCTCCCTCTTCTCTCCTGCAGGGGACGCTCTTACTTACCACAATGGTTGGAAGTTTACAACTTTTGACAGAGACAACGATATTGCCCTCAGTAATTGTGCCTTGACTCATCATGGCGGCTGGTGGTACAAGAACTGCCACTTGGCCAACCCCAATGGCAGATATGGGGAGACCAAACATAGTGAGGTGAGTGACAGGTGAACCTCTTTTCTTCCCAGGCTCTGCCACATTCTGTTCCCAGAGGGACACCCTGCAGGCAGGTTCTGTTGTTTCTCTTTCTGATGCTTTCTTTTAGGGTTTCTCTTCCAGGTTCCGCAGAGAGGGCAAGGCACCTGCACCCACATGTCTGCCTCTCCCTGCTCTGCATTCCCACCAGGGCTGTTCACTTACACAGTGTAGGAGGGCGGGGCTCAGGCTGACCACTGCTGAGTGGGGACAGATGACACGGGTTGTCCTCCTCACTTACTGGTTTGCACATGGACACGGTCTTCAACTCGAGCTGCTGTAACAAAATACTGTAGTTGGCTGGCTTAAAACAATACATGCATGCCCTCCCTAGTGGCACAGTGGGTTAAAACACAGCACTGCACAGCTGGCCACTGCCGCTTAGGTGTGAGTTCGATCCCTGCCCCTGGGATGACCCACATGGCGTGGCAGACCTCTCGTGACCCGCCCGCTATTCCCCTCAGCAGTGTGCTTTGTCAATCTGCTTGTTCTGTCCCCCCTCCTGACTCTGGTAAATCCTCTCACTGCTCCTGCACCTCTGGCCTGTACCCCTGTTCTGTATGCATAAAAAAATAAATGTTAAAAAAAAAAAACAGCACATGCTTATGTCTCACAATTCTGGAGGATAGCAAGGCCATGATGAAGTTGCTGGCAGATTTGGCTCCAGGTAGGAGTCCCTTTCTGGCTTGTAAATGGCCACCTTCTCACTGGAGTGAGAGGTAGAAAGCTCTGATTTTCTTTTTATGAGGGAACTAATCCCATCATGGGTGGGGTGCCCACCTTCATGGCCTTATCTGCATTTAATCACCTGAAAAAGATCTGCCTCTAGATACATTGTATTAAGAGCTGGATTTCAATATATAGATTCGGGGTGGGGGGGCGCACTTTGTACATAACAGACAATTCATAATTCTAGTTGTTCTTCTTGTTAACCCAGAAGTATTTCTCTCAAGTCCTTTGATTGCCAGGAAAACAGTCTTTTCTGCCTTCAGTCAGACCCCCCCTTGGATTTGCTTCACCCAAAGCTATCCCAAGACTGCCAAAGCAGCGTGCTAAGTTCTTTCTAACTGACCGTGTACATGGGAAGAAGTTCTCTGGGCTTGGGCCCCTCCCTTCTCTGAGACTTTCTTCCTGCTGATTTCTTCAGTTTCCGGGATGTGAATATCATCTTGATTCCTCACCAGCTACAGGGCATCTCCTGCTTGCTGCCTCGCAGCTTCTTGAAAATTGCATCTTTGATCCTACTCATCATGAACCCATCCTTCCATGAACCCTCGGAGTTCCCATGCTGGGGTGCCAATTTCCCTCTCTAGGTCCTGATTCTGGCCTTTTCTGAGCCACCAGAACTCACCTCATACCAACATTATCAAAGATATTAACATATCTAAAATTCATGTTCAGTCTGATTACTTTGGCCCTGACCTGGCAGCTGGGCCCCCCATCCTTCTGTGATTTTTGAAAGGGAAGAGGAAATTCACCCTCCAGGAAGACAAGAGGATGGGCCCATGCATCATGGTGGCAGCCTGTGGGCTGACTCAGGGAAGCCTGTGATCAGAGATCAAATATTTGAAATGAGCAGCCAGCAAGCCCTAAACCATCCCCATATTTGCTAATAAAAGACATTCATCTGGTTAATGCACTTTTCACAGTCTGCAAGGCATTTAGCTTCTTGTTTATTATTTACCTCACAAATTAAAATACATAAAATCGGTCACTTGGGCTCTTTATTGGCCAGGTTGCAAGGTTATTAAGTGAATTAGATATTATTGCACTCACCAGTCAAAAGACATAAAATGAAATTTAGTTTTCAGCACACTATTTGTTACCCCAGAGCTAATATCTAAACAGTCTAAATTGAAAATGATTTTACACAATTGGCCAATTAATATGTTTATTTTTGCCTTTAATTTTTGGGGAAGGAAAAGAGTGAGACAAAGATCATTTGATCCTTGCTGGCCAGGTTGACCCTGTGTAACTTTGATGTCGCCCTGGCTCCTGCCACCTCCTGGCTCACACCCCTATTGTCCAGCCCCTTGGGGTGAGGGAGAGCAGGGGCACGTGGGGAGGGGTGGGCTTCCACATCCTCAGCTGTCCTATTCCAGTGCCCAGCAGAGGGCGCATGTTTCCAGATTCAGCTTTCACTTCCTTAGCATCGCTGTCCACCAGGCCACATCGCCCCAATGGTTCACCTGTTTTCTTTTACTTTCCCCTAAACAGAGAGGGAGTGCTTTCTCCAACAAAGAATATTCCTTTGTATCCTAACCTACTCCAAGCACCTTTTATTGATGTTAACTTTTTTTTTTTTTTTTTTTGATGTAGGGGGTGAACTGGGAACCATGGAAAGGACATGAATTCTCCATTCCTCATGTGGAACTGAAAATCCGTCCTCTTGGCCACAACGGAGAGCATGTCCCAGCCAGAAAGAAGCGGACACTAGGAGAAAAGACCAGAACATTCTGATGGCCTGCTTGAGCAATCGTTGCACCAGACAAGGCCAGCCTGGAGTTGGGGCTGCATACTAAGGGGGTGGGGTGGGCAGTGGCTGACTGGCTAGTAGAAGGTTGAGAAGTGCTCAGAGCCTCTAATTTCTGAGGTGGTTGGATAACCTGCAGAGCAAAGCGTGTTACCAAGCTTCCTTCCCTGTCACCTGCATCTTTGCCCATGTATTGGTGGTCAGGGCAGAGTGGCATGGGCTGGGAATTGACAGAGTAGGAGTTGCTCTTTGTGTGGGACTGCAAGGTATTTCAGTTTGTCTTCAGCAACAAATAGGATTGGGGGAAAATCATCTAGCATTTCACCAATTGGAAACCTCTAGAAGTTGGTAAAGGTCTGTTGGTACAAATATTTCTAGAAAGCAGCCCAACAGAGGAGCTCTAATGACCAAGAAGCTGGGTGGCTAGATGCCTCCTATGAACCACGGGGAAAAACCCCTTTATAAAAATTGCTGGTGTTTTGAGGAAGAGGAAAGGGAACCGACAGAGGCCGAGATGGGCTCACATTTAGCCGAGTTCTGACTAGTATCCTGCTGGAAATCAAAGCTCCCGTGTTACTCTCTTTGGGTACCCCTTTCTGGCTATTTGCATAACCATGTTCATAGAGCTGCATATGTTGCAAATAAATTATCACTTGTTTTAACTTTAAAACACTCGACTATTGTGATAATTGGTTCCCCCAAACACTCTTCTATGACTCTCTTTCATGCCTTTCAAGTCTTTTGCCACCCTCCCCTGCTGAGACCCACAGAGGTGGACCTCTGCGTTTTCTTGGCGCCAGAGGCTTACTGTTGAATGGGCACCTGGCAAGGTCACGTTCTGTTTATTTCCTGTCAGTTTGGAAGGTGTTTCCATTGTGAAGTCAGTGATCATTGAAGTCACTTCAGGTTCTATTTAAAAAAAATAAATAATAAGCCATTTGATTAAAAAAAATTGCTTTGTGTTACTTTCCCCACACAAGTGCACTTGAATTCTAAATTTAACCCAAGTGCAAATGAAGGTAAAATTTGTGCAGCAGTATAATGGAATTTGGCTGGCTGTGTTCTCTTACCTGGGAGGAAAACAATGGCATTTGGAGCCAGATGTGAGTGAGGGGAAGGAAAGCAAGTGCCCCTCCTGGATGAGGGTGCTGTTTGTTGCTTGGGCTTCCCCAGGTTTTAGCCTCTGAATGTATGCCAATCCATACTCGCCAAAACCAGTTTTGTTCACCTTTCAGGTTTTCAGCATCCCCCTTCTATATGCGCGCACACCCTGAGCAATGCCACGGTAACTCTAGATTTGATAATCAGAGGCTTGAATACAGCACAGCTTCAGGTTTGGGCTGATCATTAAAAAACATGCTTATATCCAACGTATACAAAGGATTCTCCTAACGTGACAACAAAACACTTGATTAAAACAGGCACAGGGCCATCCCTGGTGGTGCAACAGGTTAAAGCACAGCACACTATGAAGCTACTGCAGCCACTGCAGCACAAGTTTGATCCCCGGTCAGGGAAGTGACCTACATGGTCAGGCTTGCAGACCTCTCCTGACCCACCCGCTGCTCCCTTCAGCAGTGTACTTCATCAGTCGGCTTGTTCTGCTCCCCACTCTGTCTCTGGTGAATCCTCTCACCTCCTACCCCTTTGGCCTATACTCCAGTTCTTGTATGCATAAATAAATAAATCTTTAAAAAAAAAAACAACACAGATGGCCACAGGCACATAAAAAGATGTTCATCATCTCTTATTAGGGACATGTCAATTAAAGCATCCCCTCACACCATGAGATGGCTATAATCCAAAAAACCCTCACAAAACAGCAACCAAGAATCAAGTATTGGAAAGAGAGAAGGAGACTCTCATGCACTGTTGGTGGGAATGTAAATTGGAGCAGCTATTAAGGAAAGCAGTGTGGAGGTATCTCAATAAATTAAGAATAGAAGGCTTCCCTGTTAGCACAGGGGTTAAAAAGACATAGTGCTATCAAGCTTCTGCCAGCCACTACATTATAGTTTGACTTCTGGCCAGCCAGGGAGCTGTCCCACATGAATGGCAGACCTCTCCTGCCTTGCCTGCTGCTCCCCTCATGAGGTAGATCCCCTGTTCTGCTTCCTACTTGTCTCTGGTGAATCCTCTCAACCCCTACACCTCTGACCTACATGTACCCCAGGTCTTACATGCATAAATCTTAAAAAAAAAAAAAGAATAGAAATTCCATAACATCTGTTTTACTCTACATCTGGTCATTTTCTCAAAGAATATGAAAAATACTCATCTGAAAGGATCTATACACCTCCATGTTCATCACATTAATTCCAGTCGCCATAAGACTTGGAAACTACCAAAGTGCCTGTCACTCTAAGAGTAGATAAAGATGTGGTATATCTACATGACAGCATACGACTCAGTTGTAAAAAAAGGACGAGATTCTGCCATTTTCAACAACATGGTTGGGCCTAGAGAATATGCTAGATGGAATAAGTCACGCAGACAAAGGTCTGTCTTCACTCATATATGGATGATAAATGAACAAAACAAAAACAATTGTATGAAAAAAGTAGTGTTTTCACAAAGGAGGGGGAAGCAGCTGTGTAAATTGGGTAAAATGGGTCAGTTGTGCTGGGTGGAAACCAGGCTTTTGGTGGTGAATATAATGTAGTCTATAAGGATGTTGATATGTAAGTTTGTGCACCTGAAACCTGTATGTTTTAAACCAATGTCACAATACAAAATTTAAAAATAATTTAAAAAAAAAGCACAAGGACTTGCACATCATTCGTTGATTTAATGAGAATTTGGTCACCTGCCTGCTTCTTACCGGGCAGCATACGGGGCACTGGGGAGACAGGTGAGCTCACAGATGTGAGCAAGCCAGACGGTCCTGGCACTAATGCAGTGTGTTGCCGGCATTCATTCATGGCCTCTTCTACTCAACAAGCACTAGTTAAGCCCTGTTCGGTTCTACTGTAAGCTCTGCCCTTGCTTATATTTTATTAGAGACTGTCAATAATCACAGGTAAATGTATATTTTTAAGAAGTACTATGGGTGTGGAAGAAAAATGCAGTAGAATTAAGTGATAGAGGCAGAAATTGGAGTGGAGGTTGGGCGTCTCTGAGGAGAAGATATTTGCAGAGAACTGTCAGGTTTCTTTAGTGCTGATTAGGCTCTGTCAGCAGGGGAGCTGGAGCTAGCTTGGATGGAGCTAACTTGGTGGATGTCGGCCTCATCCACCTTTCAGGCTTCCCATTCCCAGGCCTTCCGTGTTCTCTTGGCATGGACAAGCCTCACTAGTGATTTGGGAGCCAGCACCATCCCACTGTGTGCAGGTTGTTGTTGTTGTTGCTGTTTTCAGAAGTAAAGTGTCCTTTTGCAAAGCAGATCAAATTAGGGAGTGATTCAGAGCCAGGGTTAGTGCCTGGTAGATAATGCTGCTCAACTTTTCACGTTGGTAAACAGGCATGATACAGTAGGTGGCTGTGTCCCATCTCCTGACCTGATTCAGTAGTGCTGGCGAGGCTCCTCTGGACTGGAAAACGCTCGGAGGCTCTCTCTTTAGGGGCCTGCTGGCCGGTGATCTTGCTCTGGAGGTATCTGATATGGCTGCTGTGCACCCCAGAGTCCCCAACGTTCTCCACCACTGACCAACAACAAGACTTGAGGGAAACTGGATGCATGCATTCAGTTCATGCTGCCTGGAGGGGTGGGGTGGAGAAAATCTCAGCTGATCCTTCGAGGGTTCTACTGAAGGCGGTCAAAGAAGTCTGCAGAAGCTCATTCTCAAAGGATGTTTGTCGGATGGAGAAAACATCCCAGCCCTAACCCTCCACATCTAACCTCATTTTTACATGGCCTGTGCTGGTAGCAGCTGCTCTGGTAGCTGAATATGGGTCCTAGGAAGGGATTGCTGGGCAGACTTGCTTTTCAGAGGGTCAAATACCATTTTAAGAGTCAGGCTATGGGCCATCACACTTTTGAGCCTGAGAAGGAAATTTCTACCCTTAGGACAAATCAGAGCAAACAAATTTGTCACAGAAGGGGCAGGCTGCAAAGTAGGCATTAGGTAGAAATGAGGATGAAACTTGGCAGCATGGTGGGAAGGGCACACCATGACAGTGGGAGGTGCACTGGGTGCAGTGAGTTCACAGTGAACCCTGCGAGCAGAGCTGGTGCAGGAGAAAGCCCCAGGGGTATGATGTTGGCAGATGGATGGATCTGAGGGATGGATCTGAGTTTGCTAGGAGAGAATTAGAGGTGTGAAGGGAAGGTAGGACTCGGGGAGAGAACGTGGTAGCAAAGTAAGAAAGGGCAGAGTGTGGCTTGTTTGAGGGAGAAAAATGGTTTCTTGGGTGAGGATTGCTGGTGGGTAGCCAAGGAAGAGATGAGCAGGGACTCCTGCTTGCCCACATGAATCTCGCTGGTCCTTGAACACCACAGAGACTGGGGACACAGACTGCCCTGAAGTACAAAATTAATGTGTAACTTACAGTTAGACTTCAGTATCTGTAGTTCTGCATCCGTGGATTCGACTACTTACATGCCTAGTTGATTCCGTGAATGTGGGATTCCGTGAATAGAGAAAATATCCGAGGAGAGAAAAAGATCACGAGTAGAAAGCAATCCTTGGATAATGGACCCCTGCAGCTCAGACTCATACTGTTCAAAGATTAACAGTACTGTGCCTCAGCTCTCAGAGACACTGGAATCAACTGGAACTTTTATGTCTATAGATCCTATACTCCCTGCACAGTCCCCCCCACCCCCAATGGTACATTGGAGTTTTTTAAAGCTCCTAGGGAATTTGAAAGTGCAACTCGGGCTAGGAACCACTGCTAAGGGAAATTCAGGGGTGCATACCCCTTTGAGTGACATCTTCAGTGGGGCTTGAACTTCAGAAATATCATTCTGGTGCAGGATAGAGAATGGTGGGGAGGTACTGAAAGGACTTTTGAGGAATGGGTGGGGATTGAGACAAGTTCAGGCTATTGTAACTGGCAATAGTAAATTGGTAATAGTTCACCTTGGCTTGTGGTAAAAATGATGGGAAAGTGGGAAAGAGTTCAGATTAGAGAGAAATTTCAGAGGAAGAATCAACAGGATTTGAAGGGTCAGTGATAAAGGCAAGGGAGGGGTCCTTTTATGGCTGAATTTAGAGCTGGTTGCTCTAGACAGCAGATTCCTCTGGGAATAAAGTCCCCAAGTTGATGTTTATCTGGTGCTTTCAAGAGCTCTGCTTTCTAGCTTAGAATTCTCAGGCATCAAGGACCATTAAAACCAGGAAGTGCTGAGGAGTCAGAAAGACAAAGAATGTGATTAAGGGGATGTCATGAAGGAAAAGGCCCAGGTATAGCAACTGAGATGAGAGAGTGTGGACAGGGAGAACTAGAAACGGAGGCAAAAATCAAAAAGCTCTGGGGTAAGTGTAGACATTTGCTGGAGGAAGACCTCTACTAAAAAGAATTCCAAGTTTTTCCCTTAAGTCCTTCACCAGAACAATGAAGAAGATCAGCAAGGAATTTGTCAGCAAGAGCCTATTAGCAGTGGCCAGGGCAGGAGCTACGTCATACCCCTTCAGGCCAGGAGATGGCAGTGTTGTGCTACCAGGAGCCTCTGCCTTCCTGCT